GCTTAGCTAAAATACAGTAACAGAATATATTTACATATATATCTTAACACACCCCCACAGTCGAAGCGGGAGGACCACGGACGCTAAGACTGTCACGAAAATCCTCAAACAAGACTCGCGGAAGACCCTTAGTAAAGATATCCGCAATTTGATGTCGAGAAGGCACATGTAGAACCCGAACTTCCCCCCGTGCAACCTTCTCGCGTACAAAATGAATATCCAACTCGATGTGTTCCGTACGTTGATGCTGAACTGGATTTCCTGACAAATAAATAGCACTAACATTGTCACAATAAACCAGGGTAGCCTTTTTAATCGAACAATGTAACTCCAAGAGAAGATTCCGAATCCAGCATGATTCGGAGACAACATTTGCCACCCCACGATATTCGGCCTCTGCACTAGATTTAGACAACGTGGGTTGGCGCTTAGACGACCAAGAGATTAAATTATCCCCCAATCTGCATCAGTATATGCAACCAGAGAAGAAATAGACGAGGGATACAAATGTAAGCCATAATCAAGAGTACCCTGAACATACCGAATAATCCGTTTGAGAGCAGACATATGATCAACCCTGGGGTCGTGCATATGTAGACAAACCTGCTGAACAGAATAAGAAATATCCGGTCTGGTGAATGTAAGGTACTGTAGAGCCCCTGCAAGACTCCTATACAAAGATGGATCAGCAAAAGGAGCACTAGTAGAAGCGCCGATCTTGGACTTCGTGTCAACCGGTGTTTGAGACGGTTTACACGATGACATCCCTGCACGATCAATTATTTCTTCGGCATATTTCCGCTGTGAAAGAAACAAACCATCCTTATGTCGAGTCACAACAATACCCAAAAAATAATTTAAAGGACCAAGGTCCTTCATAGCAAACTCAGAGCTAAGAAGAGATATAATAGAACGGCAAAGAGCATCAGAAGAGGCCGTCAGTATAATGTCATCCACATATAACAAAAGATAAGCCATATCTGACCCTTTGCGGTAGATAAACAAAGAGTTATCCATCCTGCTGTGAGTAAATCCAATAGATAACATATAATCATCAAAACGCTTATACCAAGCCCGAGGTGCCTGTTTAAGTCCATAAAGAGACTTATCCCTGTAACCAACTGGTTGATGCATATAAACTGTTTCCTGCAACTCACCATGTAAGAAAGCATTTTGCACATCCAACTGATGAATATGCCATGCCTTTGATAGAGAAAGGCTAAGAACAGTGCGGATTGTAGCCGGTTTGACAACCGGACTAAATGTCTCACCACAATCAATGCCAACCTGTTGAGTTTTGCCATCACCTACAAGACGGGCTTTGTGCCTCTCAAAAACACCGTTAGACTGGACTTTATGAGTAAAAATCCACATAGAACGAATAACATTCACATTAGGTGGACGGGGCACCAACTCCCACGTCTTATTTTTAATAAGAGCACTAAACTCATCATCCATGGCCATTTTCCAATTAGGATCACGTAAAGCCGCGACCGGATTACGAGGTAAAGGAGACCTCGTGACAGCAACATTGGAAAAGTATTTTTTTATTAGGCTTAACAATGCCATTTTGACTTCTGGTCACAATACTTGGCTTCTGGATTGGAATATGGGCAGAAGGTGGTGCGGTTGGGCCATTCTGCATCTGGGCCGAGAGAGAGGGAGGTGATGAATGTTGTGGGGAAGGAGTTTGTGGGCTTGACAGCAAGGGTGGCCCAAGCGCCTCTTGGGAACCCACTGCAGGGGAGATGGGAGGAGTGTGGGCCTGGGCTGGATGGGAGGGAGGGGTAACGGGCTGGGTCGCAGGGGAGGGAGGTGGAGAATTATGCTGGACGGTTTGTGTAGGTTCAGCAGCTTGGGTCAAGTGATGAACAACCAAAGGATGTAATCCATCCCCCAAAAAATCATACGAGGTAGAAGTTGGAGTATGAAGATTAGCAAATGGGAACACACTCTCATCAAACAAGACATGGCGACAAATAATGATTTTATTTGACGATAAATCAAAACACTTGTAACCACGATGATTAGAAGGAAAACCCAAAAAGACGCAAGGAGTAGACCTTGGTTGTAACTTATTAATGGTGGTAGAAGGAATAAGAGGGTAGCATAAACACCCAAACACCTGTAAGTGTGAGTAAGAAGGAATTCGTTGATAAAGAATTTCTAAAGGAGACTTATTACCCAACAACTTACTTGGAAGAATATTGAGAAGGTATGTAGCCATTTGCAAGGCATGATGCCATAAGGAAGGAGGTAGAGATGCATGAGCAAGAAGAGTTCTAGTGACATTGTTAATAGTTCTAAGTTTCCGTTCGGCTTTCCCATTTTGGGAAGAAGTATGGGGACAAGAAAAACGGAAAGATAGGCCATTGCGTTTGCAAAATTCCCAAAAAGGACCATTATCAAACTCCCTCCCATTATCACATTGAATATTTTTGATATTTCGTTCAAATTGAGTGTGGATATGGGCTTTAAAAGCTAGAAAAGTGTCATACACATCCGATTTCTTGGCTATAGGAAAAGTCCATAGATATTTCGAAAAATCATCCAATAACACAATGTAATAACGATGGCCTATAGAACTTAAAATAGGTGAAGTCCACAAGTCACTATGAATTATATCAAAAGGCATAAGAGTATTAGAAGTAGATGGAGCAAAGGGCAATTTAACATGTTTGCCATAAACACAAGAATTGCAAATGCTAGAACAAGAATGTTTATTACAATCAATGTTTTTATTATGCCTAAGAACATCTAAGATAGGAGCACCCGGATGACCCAACCGATCGTGCCAAAGCTTAGGTGAGATGGCGGCAAAGGTAGAATGAGGAGCCTGATTTGTGGTAAATGGATAAAGGTCCCCATGGCTATCACTCCTCATGATTGGCTGCCCCGTCCGAAAATCCTTCACAGAAAACCCAAAGGGATCAAACTCAACTTTCACAGAATTATCGGTGGTAAATTTTCTAACAAAAATGAGATTTTTGATGAGTTTAGGTGCATGAAGAACATTTTTCAGAGTAAGGGGAGCAGTAGGGGAAGACAATTTAGTATGACCATAACCAAGTATAGGAATAGTATGACCATTACCAACAACAATGCCATTATTAGGATGAGTGCTCAAATTAAAATAAGACGAGAAATTACCGGGAGAGGAGGTCATATGAGAAGTAGCTCCAGTGTCCATGTACCATGCCGGATCGGGTTGAGAAAGAGTCATAGTGTGCATCGCGGACTCAATGTCAGTTGGAACATAAGACGGAGCATAGGACGTGGGCTGCCCAATAGAAGAAGCTGCATAGGCCTGCTGGCCTTGTTGTGGTCGTGGCCCCAAGATGCCAGGTTGCTGCCTGGGTTGGAAATTGGGCTTGGCCCAATTCTGAGTTGGGTAAGGACATGGTGGCACGGGCCACCCTTGAGGCATCCACCCCCATGGTGGACACTGTTGCTGCCAGAACGGGGAGAAGGACTGCTGGCCGCCTGTCCCACGTGGCGCACCGCCGGAACCACCACTAGAAAACTGACCCGCCTTGCCGCCACCGGAGCCACGGCCTGCACCACCAGAATTCTTGCGGTTGCCGGAATTTTTCCCTTTTTTCTGATTTTTCCCTTTCGAGTGACCATGAGAACCGGAGTCAAGCTGAGAATTATCAAATGATGCCGCAACCATTGCCGAGTCCGACCCTTGTGAAGCATCCTTGGCCAAGCCGACCTCCTCTAAAGTAAGCATGGATCGTGCTTGATAAAAAGCGGGTAAGGGATTGCTCTGCCTAATAAGCGTACCAACACCACTGTACGCTTTCGTAAGGCCCCCAACCATCTGAAGAACCAGTCGACTGTCCGAAACCGGTGCACCTACATTCTTGAGTTGATCGGCAAGAGACTTCAAACGTTGACAATAAGCCGAGACATTAGGAAAGTCCTCTAAATTTGTGGTTGAAAACTCCTGCTCAAGAGTCACAGCCCGAGAATGTTTATTGTTCTGAAATAGGTCACGCAACCTATTCCATATTTCCATTGCTGTTGCATCTGGTTCGATAACGGTGTTGATAAGGTCAGTCGAGATAGTACCATAGAGCCACGATAAAACCGCAGCATCAAGGGTCTGCCATAGTTCCATTTCTTCCTCGGTAGAAGGAACTTTCTCCTTGCCGGCAGCAGGGGGAATGATATGGTGAAGGACTCGATGAGATTTTGCGTGAAGCTTGAACAACTCCGCCCACGTAGAGTATTGCATATTTGCCATTTCGAGAGTAATGGGAATGTTTGCCTTGATGTTAGGGACAGCAAGAGCAGGGTGATATTGAGACTTGGATTCACCCATGGTGAAGAATAGAGAAGAGAAGAGAGTAGATGGAAAGAAAATGTGAGCAATAGAACAATAGCCGAGGAAAGCAGCGGAAGATGAAGGAAATTGTGCCCTAGGCAACTGATACCATGAAAGAGTTTATGGAATATTTTCCTCAAGGGATTTCATTCACTGACTTCCCAATATATACAAGATAGCCGCATGTTGCTAGCCATAATACAAGGCACCTATTTAGGAACTAATTACAATCATATCAATCTAAATATATGCTTAGCTAAAATACAGTAACAGAATATATTTACATATATATCTTAACATTGATTTCTTTGGAACTGGCGATATTACGAACTATGGATTTAGCAATCGGTAATGTCATTGGTTCCGCTATTTTCCGATCTGTGCGTGAAAATACAGAGAGAGGTAAATCCATAGTTCGTAAGGGAGAGGAGAAGAAAACAGGTTCAGATTTTTGAGTTGTGGTTGTAAGAAAGGAGCAGGAGCTAGCTGAGCAGTCGGAGATGATCAATATGAGGCATTTGGCAGCCCTTACTAATTGAAGGGCAAATATGTCATTTTAATCTTACAGTAAATCCAATGAAAAGCCAAACAACCAAATTGGCTCTTTCTCCCTCATCAGACAGCATATTCTACGGAATTTTTTTTTTCTATTTTCTTTTTTTTTTGGTGGTAAGCTTATTGAAAAGTTTATTCATCTCAATAAGCTTATCATTCTATCACATAATTTTTTACGACATTCACACATTTCCTCGTACAACAATTTGATTCGGGACTTAAGAGTTATGATTTATGGCAATTAGTCGAGTACTCTCTCTACCTCTAACTATATCGTCGCATTAATAGGATAACTTAGTCCTATATAGATATATACTAGTACATACTAATTATATGCATAAGTTTTTCCGAGGTTAACAAAAAGCAAAATGTTACATGATATGGGCATGCGCACTTCAACGACAAGGAGTAGACAACTTCTGCTTCTGCTTTTGAAACAAGGATAATAGCTCTTCATTCAACTTGTCGTAGTTGACAACATAATTTTCTTCCAACTGTTAAATAGATTAATTAACAGCATAATCAAAACATTGATCTTTAATTATCCTTATTAAAGAAAAAAAAATAATAAATAAAAGAAAAGAAAGGAAATTGAATATTGTACTCCTTAAGTCCTGCTTTGACAACATAATATTCTCTTAATGAAGCTATGAACACTACGTAGCACCTAATTTTATTCTCTAATTATTTAATTACTTAATGATTATCTAGATTAACTAGTACGTCCGCATTTAGGTGTGAAATGACCTTGCTACTAATATAATGTGTCGAACAAATATTGGCCACGACATTAAAATAATAATTGTAGAGTTACAACAATATACAAAAGTTATGGTTATGAACTAATACATACAATGTATACTTATAGTAGCTAAAATGCGACATATATGAAGTCAACGATTATATTGTGGACTTATGGAGAATCTTGTGCAGCAACCCTTCTTAATTTGTCAATACCTCATAAAATTTACTCCTATTCGATTACTTGACTCATAATATTAATTGTACCAAGTATATAATAATACTACTTGTAAATATATGACTGAAGCTAAAATTGATCTAATCCATTGTATTCGATTACTTGACTCAAAAATTTAATTGTACAAAGTATATAATAATACTATTTGTAAATATATGACTCAAGTTAAAATTGATCTAGTCCAAACCAATGCAATTGAACACATAGAGTTATTGTGACTAATGATATTAGACTATCGTAAAAACCTAATCAAAATAAATCTGACATGACCATGCATACAATTAAATAACCAAATCAAATTTGAACTAAGTGAATCATCATCACTGAAATATAAATTGAACTGAATTGACATGAACAAAACAACTCATCATTTGTCATCGTCACTAAACAAGCTAAATACAATGTATTTGATAAAGATAAAAATATTTTCTTTTCGAATAAAGGTAAAGATGAATTAAGATACTTACCCATAAATGTATATTGTAGAAAAACCTTCCTCCAAAGGATTGAAAAGAAGAAACATCAATAATAACATTACCATTCTTCTCAAGCAATATAAGCACTTCACTCAATGATACCCTTTCAAATAATGTTGATATTTGAATTACCATTTCTTTATCACTCAGATTATTCATAGAAACTGAAAAAGATGTTGATTTCTCCTTGATTTTGTCCATTTTCGGCTTTTCCTCGTGAATATTTTCCCTTGTATTATTTCCTTGTAACACTGAAATTTCTGATAAGAGTTCTTCTTTTCTATGTGTTAGATCTTTCACTTCTTCTTGTAGTTCTGGTATATACTTCAGCACCCGTGCGACAGTCGCAGGAATGCTTAATCTTCTCTGTAATTAGATGTAAATATTATCATTGTTAATTACTTAATTGTATTTAGAATAAAATGCTTAAAATAAAGTACAACTTGAATCAGTAATGTGTAAATTAACCCTATACGTATTAAGTACTTAATTAATGACTACTATATTGTACAGTACTAGTTTAATCCTATTAAGCATACTTTAAACTTGAAATCATCCAAATGTCGACACGTATGTTAATGTACCATCAATAAATACGTTACATTTTTATTATTCTACCATCAATTGGAAATAGATTAATTTTAAACTGGAGTGTACAATATGAAGTATCCCTGTCAAAAAAAAAAAAAAAAAAAAAAACAAACGAATTAAAGTACTCCGTATTACTTAATTAATGGGTAACTTTCATAGTTTTAAAAAAAAAAAAAATTCATGTGCTTTTATTACTTTTGTTATGGTGCTATCTAAAATTTTTTAAAATTAATAATAATCTTATATAAATTATATGGGAGATTAATCACAATTCATTGAAAATTAGGATTATCAAATAAAGGTATAAGTGTAAATATGTGAAATTATTTGTCAATATGGCTGTTTTATTGATCAAAAGAAAGAATTATTTTGGTAAATGAAGTGAAAAACACTTAAATTTTGAGTGAGTTGAACCAATCCACATAGGCAAAATCACAAGGGATGTGCATGCAATGTATGTACAACCTTAACAATTCCTTCCCCCCCCCCCCTTCTTTTTCTTGTATTCTTATAAGAAAAAATAAATAATTTTTGATATACCATGCACTTTATACAACCTATTATATATATATATATAAATAAAAAATTATACGATAATTATAAGTTTAACTCCAAGTTTTGAGTTTAGACTATAGGCTAATTAAACATCTACTTTCTGAACTAATCCTCTATAGTAATTCCACGGTCCATTTATTGAGGATTTTGAGAGTTTAATTCCCCCATAGGTCTTGATACCTTGTCTATCTCATGTCACTTTTTTCGGACACCTACATTGTTCAGTAACTACAGAGAATTCTTATGCGTAACTTTAATCATTATATATAAACCTCACTTTAAACAGGTAAAACATGACTAAATTAAAATTATAAAATCATGTTTGATGTATATACAGAAGTAGAAATTTAGCATAAACTTACAATTTGATCATTAGCAGGAAGCAAGTCACGTAGAGAAGAATACAAGACATTGATCTTCTTCCTCCGATCCCTCTCACTAGCGTTATGATTAATTTTTCTCTTCATTGTTGTGGTCGTCGTAGTCATGGCTGCACCAAACTGATGATCTGCTGAGCTTGTACTTAGCGACGATTTTCTTTGCTTAAGCTTAACATGATCATTACTATCATCTTGAGCTTGAGACAGCAAAATATTAGGAAGAAATATGGCGTCCAAGTTTAGATAATTATTATCTAGTAAAACTTGATCATATGTTTCTAATTCTAATTCTATAGCATACTCCAATCCTAAAGTGGGTACAAAAGGACACATCGCTACTATATTTTGGTCTTAATAAGGAGATGGGAGGTTTGGTTGTTTTGGAGGCTAAGTTATTTTCTTGGGATCAATTCCTTGTAAGAGGCAAATGTGTTTTAGAGAATGAAGCTCTTTATATAACTACACTTACATATATACTATTGGACTTTTATATATAAAATATAAAGCTTTAGGATTAGATAATAAAACATGTATATCCATAGTAATTATTATAATTATTCTTAAACTCTCTTCATACAAATGCATATTGAGTAGTAAACCTATTTGTTACCTCTTATTTATTTATTTTTATTTTTATTTAAGTTATTTTTTTTTTTGGTTAAGGTAATAAGGAGGATATAATAATCAATTTTATTAAAATGATATCTCTTACATGCTAAGTTAATCTAGTCTATATTAGTTTGTAGGGCATATTTTATTGGGGGGGGCATAAGGGAATCACTACCCCAAAGAGTCCATAAGTGACATGGAATTTAAACAATTATAATCTGATTTATTTAAAATTACAACTAGGGCCCTAGGGGTACGTGCTTATGAAGCAAGTTGAGTTCGGCTTTAAGTTGAGTGCAGCTTTGGGATAGATCAACTTGAATTGAATTTGCTCGCTAACATTTCGAGTTGAGTTTTGACCAAGCGAGCTTTAACCGAATTTTGACTAATTTGATTTTAATTTGAGTAGCTCACTAATTAATTGTCAGACTCTGTAACATTAATGGTATATGTAAACGAATATTTTGAGTATTAATTGCATAATTTTCCTGTAATTTTGTTGACCATAATTGATATGAGATTTTTTTTTTTTTTTCACGTTTAATTTCTTATTGGTTTTCAAGTCAAGTTTTGAGTATCTCAACTCAACTCGCTAACATCTCCAGTCAAGCCTATTTGAGATAGTTTTGACATCTGATGAGCTCAAGTAGCTTGTAAATTGTCTCATCTTCTTGTTGCGAATTAGTTAAAATTCATACGGTGGTAATATACTTATTACTGTAGTGATTACTTAGATGTAGCTAAAAAAAAAACTAGTCCGTACAAAATATTGTTAATTTTGAGAGATGCTGAATGAATAAACTTAGCTTCTCGATCAATTAATTGCTTAGATCAACTACTTTGACCAACAATGATTTAATTAAAGTGTGAGTGCGCTAGCTTTTGCTAGGGTTATGCATACTTAATTGTCAATATTTAATTTAATCCAATAGGATAAATTGGTGACTATAAAGAGATTAAAGTTAAATACTTAAGAATGACAAAAGTGTGTCATGCACTAGATTTACACGCGGTTGCCTCAAGCTATCTTTTGCACCACTTATCTTTTTTAGTTAAAAGTATCATCACTTATCACCTAAATTGTACTTATATACGAAGTAATACATGTATTTTTATATGCTTATCTAGTTTCGCATTTTACGTACGAGTGGTGTATGATTGTTCATAATGCGTTTAACTAGCCAATTAAGAATTAAATTACTATTATATGCTATTAAAGTTGTTAAAAAAGTATTGTGATAATGTCTTATGTTTAACAGCAACAACTATAATATGGTTTATTTAATGCGCTACTTGATCATTTATATATACATTGTTTGATGTGTAGTTGTTAAATTTGCAACACGCAATAGTGAATGTCTAATTAGTTAGCAACTAAACATCAAAGATTCAAAGCAATATAAATTGTCTTAATTTATTACATGACAATATGGAAATAATAAATAAGAACATAGTAATTGTTTTCCTAAAATGGAACAAATCACTCGCCTTTGTTTTAATCCCTTGTTAGAGAAACACAATTTAATCTTTTCTTTTATATTTCAAATAATAAAAAACTTTTTAATAAAGTGGCACGAAAATAAACGTATCAATTATTTATGAGAGGAGATATACATGAATGTTAATCTCATAGATTAACCTGGACATGCTCTAAGTGGTTAATAATGTTGGATAGCCTAGTTTGCATGCAAAACACTTGACGTGTATTTCAGACTTGTTTTCTAACAATTGGGAGAAAAGCTTCTCAATAATATGGTTGGTCCTTGAGTTGGAAAAATGGCACAAATCACTCTACTTTGTTTTAATCCCTTGTGAGAGAAACATTGTCAAAACTTGATCAGCCATAAAATATATCCTTTTCACCTTGTTTAATTAGCACCTCAACTGTTTATAGCTACTAACTTGACATTGGTTTCTACATTATATTCTTAGTATGGTCATGAGGTGGCTGGAAATTGAAATTAAAATCAACTTCTATGAGCTTTGGATTAAAATTGAAGAAATGCTTCGTTTACTTCTCCTTGTTCCCTCATTACTATTAGGCCAAATTAGAAAATAACACCCAAAAAAACCCCCGATTTTGATAATAACACCACTAAAAAAAAAAAGTTTTAATATAACACCACCAAAAATCCCAAAATTTTGGTTTCACCACCCACTAACGGATTTTTGAATGGAAACCGTTAGTGGGATCCCTATGGACACGTACTAATTAGGTATTGGTTTAAAAAAAAATTAAATTAAAAAAAAAAACACCCTAACCCAGCCACTAGCCTTCTACCGGCAGCCCAATCCTAGTCGCCGGACACCAATCCTCAGCCGCTGGCACCCTCTGTCCCACCAAAACCAGCGAAATCAGGCCAACCACCACCCTCATAACTAGCGACAACCATCCTAATCCTATCAACCGCCGTGAAAACGAAATCCACCGCATAATTCGCCGCCACTTTGGTTTCTGGGTAAGGGTTTGGGTTTGGGTATGGGTGTGGGTTGGGGTTTCGGCGGTTTGGCGACGGTTTTGAGTAGGGAAAAGGAGTTCGACGAAAGTGGTGGGTGTGGGCTGGGGTTTCGGCTGGCTTAGGTTGGGGTAACGGTGGTTCGGCGAAGGTGTGGGCTGGGGTTTTGGCTGGTTTAGGTTGGGGTAACGGTGTTCGGCGAAGGTGTGGGTTGGGGTCATGGTGGTTCAGCGACGATTTCGGAGCTTCGTCGACAATTTCAGGGGCTGGGTATGGGTGGGATCGGCGCTGGTGGTGGAGGTGGCTGGCTGGGTTAGGGGGTAAGGTTTGTTTTATTTTTTTTATTTTTCTGTTTTTTAAACCAATAAACAACTGACACGTGTACATGGCGGGCCCCACTAACGGTTTCCATCTAAAAACCCGTAGTGGATGGTGAAACCAAAATTTTGGGATTTTTGGTGGTGTTATAATAAAACTTTTTTTTTAGTGATGTTATTATCAAAATCGGGGGTTTTTTTTGGGTGTTATTTTCTAATTTGGCCTTACTATTACAAATTCTGTCGCGAGGATCTAATTTATATGTTGATTGTTAAACGCCTGGTTGAACCTTATACTTTAGGTTACTTCTCTACATTATAGCCGGGGGTGGATTTAAGATTAAGGTAATGTCATCATAGGTAACAAGCATATATCAAGGAATTGAAGGCTCTTGGTTCAATACATAGATTTTGATCCTTAGCTTGTTTTAAGTGTCGGACCATGTGAGTATTGATGAGGAGTTAAAAGTAGATTAAGCCCAACACAATTAGTGATACTTTTTTTTTTTTTTTTTTTTCGGAAAAACAAACGGTGTTATAATTAATTAATGGACACATAGTCCGAGAGTACATACGGAGAAATTTCCAGAGGACAATGACTCTCCCACACTTGTTCTACACGAAAGACCTTAACTTAGCTAAGTGATGAGCAACATTGTTGCCATATCTCTTCACATGAGCCCAAGAAACAGAATTAAATTACTACAAAAAAATAAAATGTCTTCAAGCACTCCATCAAGATCAGAGAAGTACACCGCACCCTTGGACAGTCGATTCACAACAACTTGGCATTCCGTCTCAAGAACAGCATCCCTGCACTCGTACCTCCTGGCAAGCCTGGCAGCCATACACAAAGCCTTTGCCTCCGCAACTTCAGGCGGCCACCACGCCCGCACTAGCTCTTCAAACAGCAGTAAAAAGAACCTTCCCTTCCTCATTCCAAGCCACAACACCCATTCCCACCCAACCCTCATCAGCTAACGAGGCATCAACGTTCAATTTAATAACTCCTCTAGGAGGTGCAAGCCAACACTTACTGCTGCGTTGACGTTTCGAGGTGGGTAGCATGTAGATTTTCTTGCTGTACTTCCCATAATCTTCCACATGTCTTCCAACTTGAGCCAAGAGGATAGCATTTGGAGTGAATTTATCTTCAGATTCCTCTCACCCATATACACCACGCAAGAAACGCTGCACTAGGGGTGAGTACGGATCGGATATCCGTATCCGAAAATCCAGATATTTGATATCCGATATCCGATCCGAAACAACTTTCGGATATCCGATTTCCGGATATCCGAAATTTTCGGATCGGATAACTCGAATATCCAATATACGACCCTATTATATATTTTTTTAATAATATTGTATACCTACTAATTTAATGGCAAAAAAAAAATTAATGGCAAATTTAAACGAAGTATATACGTTGAATTGTATATGAACAAGCATTTTTTTTTAATAAACTTGAACAAGCAAATTAATTCTACAACAATTCTTAAAAAAAAGTAAATAATCTTGAACAAGAAGATCAAATAGACTAGAAATATAAATAAATCCAACAAATGATTTTCAGATTTTTCACAAATTACAAAACATAAAAATTTTACACAAACCAATTAATTAAACAAAGAAATTTTAATTAGAGAAGCCATCGTTGGTGTTGTGAGTTGGAAGATCGAGGATTTTGACCCATACGGTTGCGGTTGTTGTTGCGGGTTGTTGTCATCGTTGTCTATGAACACTACACCCACCCCTTCTCACCTGAACTCCCCCTCACTAGACCACCATAGAAATTTCGAGGAAGGGGGAATGGGAAGGGGGCTGCTGTTCGTCGACGGGGAAGGGGTGGGAGGCTGTTATCGTCGGCAGAGAAGGGGTGGGGGGCAGCTATTGTCGACGGGGACGGAAGGGGTGGGGACTACTATCGTCGATAGGGGAAAGGGGTGGGGTTTCTCCGGTGGGGTTGACCAGTGGTGTTGCTCCAGCGGGGAAAGGGGTGGGGTTGGCTGGTGGTGCTGCTCCGGAAGGGAATGAGAAAGGCAGAGGGGCTTTGGGTTGCAGAAATCTAAGAGGAATGAGGAGAGAGAGAAGATAGAGAAAAGAAAGGAGAGAGAATCAGAGAATATAGAGAGAAAGTCAGAGAGAGGCGGTGAGTGAGGTTGGAATTTGAGGGAATTATTTAGGGTTTTCTGGTTTGGGACTTTGGGTATTTGGGCCTTTGTCTTTAGGGCATCTAATAATATGAAAATATTATAAAAGGGTAAAAAAATTGTTTTTACGGATTTCGGATCGGATATCCGATATCCGATTTTTTTCGGATATCGGATATCCGAAATCCAAAATTTGGATATCCGATATCCGATCCGATATCCGAAAAATCCGGATCGGATATCCGATCCGAAATCAAATTCGGATCGGATATCCATAATTTTCGGATCGGATGCGGATCGAATCATCGGATTTTCGGATCTTCAGATAGTTTTGCTCAGCCCTACGCTGCACGCTGCAAGAGCTTTGCATTCGCTTTATCCCAATTCACAATCATTTCTCAAAGATCAGCCACACCATTATTTATCAAAGCATCACAGTAGCTATCTTCCCATAATTCTCTTACCCGTTGGCATTCAAAAATAGCATGAGTGCTAGTCTCCACCTCAACTCCACATCACGGACATAAGTCAGTGTCAAGCAAGTGACATTCAGCAAGCAGCGCTTTAGTAGGAAGGGTTCCTGTACATTAGCGCAACAAAATGCCTGACCTTCAGTGACACTTCCGACTTATCATATCGTAGTTAATTTTCTGCCTGGATGCTACTTCGTATTTGTTGAGAATATCAACTATGGCTTCACATTCCTGTCGGTTAGCTCTGGCAAAAAGGAGACTATCATCTGCAAAAAGGAGATGTGAGATTCTTGGCCCATTGAGGCTAGCCTTAGCCCCATGCAACAACCCGGACTGAACTCTACTCTGTAACATAAGAGAAAGCGCATTTGCCACAAG